AAATTCAAGAAAAAATGTAGTTAATTTAGTCTTATGTAATCTAAGTTTCCATTAATAAATATTTTATGCGTTTACGGAGTATGTAGAATAGTGTAAAATATATTGCAAACATATTGAGTTTAAAAAATTGATTAGTTTAATCATGGAAGTATAAACACAGATGGACTCAGTTATTTATATAAAATTATTTGATTAGGTCACATTCTCAGCACCTTCAACTGTTGTCACGTTTTTTTATTAAAATTTCTTATTCGCGAGTCACTGAAAATATTACTCCGTATTTTATACTCTACAGGTGCTATCAAACCAAAATAATAATTTATTGTTATATTAATATATTTAATTGTAATCCAAATATCAAGTGTGCACATAGTGTGTATTATCATTTAATATTAGCGTATAATAGATAATAATCAATTATTTTATATGTAGAAGCACTGAAAACTATTTATAAATGGCAACGGTGTTTACATTTCTCTGTCTTATGGCCTACGTCAAACTTCAAATGCATGTTTGTTTACTTTTTACAGTAGACGAGCAAAAGTTGTTTTTCGATATTTGGCTGTATTTTGAGTGATATTTGTGAAAAGTGAAATAAACATATTACAATAATGGTGCTACAGTTTTGCATTTGCAAAAAAAACGAAATATTTACATGCCGATCTCTCATTTCATTTGTAAGTACTGCCTGTTTACATTATTTAAGATGAGGAACTGGCGTACTATTGGGTTTATTCATGTGCATTAATGCATTAAAAATAAGATGAGTTTGTGAAATTAGTAGACATTTTTAAATTGTAAGTAGACATCATCTGATTAAAAAATATTTGTTTAGTACCTTTTTAATTTAATATTTCTCATAAATACAAATAAATTAGTGAAATGAATAAAACTCATTTATTTTTCTATGTAGGTTTTCAAATAATATTGACGATCGAACTATTTGGGTAGCAAATTTAGGAGAAAACATAAAGATTTTTTATTGTAGCATTATTTTGATACCTATTAAAAGATTAACTTGAATTCAACTATATTTTATTGTATTAATTTTAAAGCAAATAAAATTGTATTTTAATTTTTCTATAAAGACGTGATTTGTTAATAGTTAAACTCTCTTTTTTTAATTCTTCGAACGTGTTTTTATACATTATTACTACTTCCAATTTTTTAAGTCTGAAAAGTTATCCCCGCGAGTAAAAATTCAAGCACGCTTATGCTCATTGAGGAAGCATCACATTCTATCGAAGCTTCAAAACAGTGTGTGTTAAAGGTATCTTATTGCTGTGTCCATCTGAGTTTATACGTCCATGAGTTTAATAGCTTGTTTTGAAACTCTCACATTTATTGCATTGAATGAATAACAGACAACCTGCTACCGAGAAAGCCTACACTAAGCACGAGATGTCCCTTCTTTTGTACCTTGATGGCGTCACAACGGTCAACGCTGCCAATATAATCCACCGACTACGAATATACCAAAAGGTAAGTCTACATTCTTTGTACAGATGTGAGTATGAGTTGAAGCCAGTTAATTCTCGTAATTTATTTTCAGTTGTATTAGCTGTTTTCGATACTTTTATTTACAGTCAAAATATTGCATTTTTTCTCCATTACTATTTCTAAATTCATTTAACCAACGACCTCTAAGTTTTATACAAAACAGTGTCCTATCGACAAAAATGAAAATGCGGTTTAAAGGTGAAAAGTTTAGCTTTCGTGTGCATTTTTTTGGTATTTTGATAATTATAAAACTGTTCTATCAATATCTAAATGCGTAATTTTTGCCATTTTTACGATTTTTGTGAGATCAATAAAATTATCACTTTCGTTGACCGGTCGTAGTAAAATTTCCATTTTTAGAGAGCAATATTTAAAACCTATAACATGAAATTTCAATTTTGAGTTTTGGCAACAAATATGTTTACATTATGTTTATATTACAAATGATAGCACGTCACAGAAAATGCATCCAAGAACACGATTTTGGGTGTATTTTGTAGTTGAAATTGGGTACTCTTGAAAAATGTACTAATGTAATTGAAAACGAGCAGTTTTAAACTTAAATTAACGAAACCGTTAAACATTTTAGATCTTAGATTACGTTTTAGATCATTTGTAATATGAAAGTTTAAATTCAGCGTTTTTAAGCATAATTATTTCAAATGTCTTACATTTGTTGTCAAACTTAAAACTAAAATTTAATACTACAAATTTTATATATATATATATATATATATATATATATATATATATATATATATATATATATATATATATATATATATACTAATCAAAACTCCACAGTGGCCGGTTACTAAAAGGGAGACATTGTATTGATTTCATGAGAATCGTAAAATGGCAAAAATCGCAAAACAGTTATTTATTTAACACATTTATAAAACCTTTTTTATTTGCGACAAAATAAAAAAAAATTATTTAAATTATGTGTTTCGGCTGAAATACGAAAGCTGCACTCTTTACGTCTTGACTTTACATCTTGATTTTTGTCGATAGGACACTCTGATTAAAAGATATCGAATATTTACCGTCGAGTTTATACAAATTTTATTTAACATCGACTTCGCACGCGTAACTGACATTAAAAATCACCGATCGCTTCCAGCCTTGTTTCTGAGATAACTCATTCTACACAAATAATGTTCGTAAACATTTTTGTTCAAAATTATCTTAGATATGTTTGTTATTTGAAATATTTTTTCTATGGCGTACAGATTCGCAGTAAATCGATTTTTTCCGTTTCCTCCGGAATTAAAAAAAAATAAAAAAAAATAAGAAGCTTTTTTAAATTTTATTCTATAAAAGTAGCGGAAAATAATCGCAATTACTAGAATTCCTGCAATTGATTGATGACACGATCAAATATTTATTAATAACTTTTGGTACAACTGATTATTAGGAAAAATTATTTATCGTTACTTCTTATGATATCCCCATGCATTTTATTGGTTATGGGAAATTCAGCTCCTAAATTCGACTGCCGACAAAAAGTCGCATATTTTCAGCGATTGTACATTCTCCAGTAAATGTAATTGTGGACGAATAATATACAGCCAATTGCAAATATTTTAATTTTATAAAGTGCTTTTTGGTACCAAATGTACCATGATACTTGATTACTACACGGACAAAAATGCGTCGATATAGATAATTAAGTGCAGGTGCTTTAAGTTGAACACGATGAATATTAAAATAATAAATCAATAGATGCCTTAAGGTGCAACAATGGTATTTTCTGTATAAGGAATTTGTTGATAAATAGTAAAATACTGTTTATTAAACACCTGTGAAAAAACTTGGTTTTGTATTAGTTTACATTTTGAATTAATGAATACAATAGACAATATAAGTAATGAATTCAACGGATAAAGTCATAAATTAGTATAAATACTACAAATTAGAACACTTGATTTATATAAAAATGCAAATAAATTATCGTAAAACCAAAAATTGCAGACAATATGGCTACTAAACAACTTTATTAACTGTAGTTCTAAATAGTGATACCACTAGACCATCTATAAGAGGCCTAGCAGGAAGAAAAAGCAAACTCAGATTAAAAACAAAAATAAGACTAATAAATAGTATAATCCTTTCTATACTAACATATATTTTCAAAAAAGAAAATACAAGCGGCACACAAGAACAGCCTAAGAGAAGCAGTCAATGTACCAATATAAGTAGCAGAAATATTCCTCTTTAGAGAACTGCAACAAATCAGAGTGACTGACACGATGAAAGATAAAAAGTTCGCGGAGATAGAGAACCACCCCAGTCACATACTGCAAGAGATAATGACGTATGACGCTTTCCATAGATGGAAGCACAGAAGACCAAATAGTAGACTAAAACAATAATACCAGAGAGACAATTAAACATCACACAACAATGCACAATGAAGACAGTTCGTAGCTCAAAACACCCATGGACAATCTCCAAAAACTTAGTGGGCACGGTTGGACACATAATTTTGATTTTTGTTTCAGGGCTACCTACAAAAAAACCAAAAAAAAAATCACATAAAAAACCGGCCTCGGCTACCAAAAAAATTAGAAAATACTAACAAAACCGACGCAAGCAAAAAAAATTAACAAAAACCCCAAAACCTAGGCACGTAAGGCCCAACCCCTTAAGCTATAAGTCGCCGAATAGATGCTGACTCAGAGCGAAGACTTTTGAGGTCCAAGTAAGCAATTCTAGTTCATGGATAAGCCACATTAAGATAACAGGAATACAGCGAAAATGCGCTGTCCGGAGTTTTACATTCGGTTAGGAAACCATGTTGGGGTTTTATTACTCAGGATCTCCACATGAAGAGCATTTGGCTGATAGTTGTGTCTCTATCGCGCATCAGAGTGCTATAGGAGGAAAGGGATGGTCTGGAGCATTGGAGCGAGGTGGGGTGACTCCTGTTTTTACTTGAGGTAACACACCTCGCTTCAATGGATTGTTACACCTGAACGTATTTCTTAGGGGTAAACATTTCTCACAGGCTGGGTTAATTAAATTGCTTAACTTGCTTTGATCCTCCAATGAACAGAATGATTCTAAATAGTAGAAGTACTGGATTATCTAAACGGCTGGGATTCATACATGCGTAAAGCACAAATTTAATTTACACTTACACATGATAAATTTTAATAGTTTTGTACGAGCTGACGCGCAGATATTTTCACATGTTTCAGCTAAGATACCCCTTGACACCGATGCCTATAGTAGCAATGCAATCATATTTATCGACTTGTTTAGAGAAACTCTGTCAAAAATTAAACAATTAATTATTATTGCCAATACTCACTAGGTATTTCTTAAAAATCACAAATAATCATATTACAGAATCAATCAAATAATGAATAAATAATGTAATTATACATAAAAATATATTAATGAAATCTAAACTCGGTTTAATGAGAAATTAAAAAAAGAAACATCCTAAAACCATAAAATTTTTTATTTATATAAATCTTTAATTAATTTTTTAGAAAATGCATTCCTGAAATAACTTTAACTCATTGCGAGATAATATTTGCATTTGGACGACCTTGTCCAATGTACTTAATTAAAAGAAAAATTGCTTCTACTTGAGATGTAAAGAATAAATAATAAATCCATTATTTTGCTCATACATATTTGTAAATCAAATAATAAAATCTTTAATTACATAAATAGACCAAACAACAAGGTTATTTCCTGGTGGTCGTAAAACGGAAGAGGTTATATAAATCAATTTTCTGAGGAGTATTTATCAAGGATGACCAGCTGGAAATGACAGTATCTCATTTTGTTGGGACATAATAAAGTGCTTATAAATATTACAATGAAGCTGAGTATAAAAAGGGCCATCAATTTAAAATCGCTATTCGTCAGTGTCTTCCATGAAGTTACGCTCTGGTCGTTTAACCCTAGCCAGGAATAAACTTTTTGAAAAATGAAAAAAAAATTTAATAATTATTGAAGTTAGAAATTTTGTGTTACATGAAATAAATATCAATTTTAACGAAGCCAATGATAACATGATATAATCATCAGGATATGTTTATTTTGGTAACTGCAGAATTAAATGATCATTTCTAAAAGTTAACACACAAATTTATAATAAATAAAAAGTAGTTAAATACATACAATCTACATACAATCTACCAAGGGCTTATCAGATAGAGTAACATACACGACGCTTAAATTAAAAAGAACGTCTTTAAAAATCATACAGGTGTACCTACAGCGATGAAGATATTGAACATTTCTACGAAGACAGCTATGAAAGAAAAGAAATCAAAATTAACGCTAATAATCGGGGACTTTAATGCCAAAATAGGAGAACAACTATATAAAGAAGAAGACAAATTAGGACACCATGGATACCGCAAAAGAAACGATAGAGAACATACATTGATGTATTACTTGAAGGAGAAGCAACTATATGCAATGAATACATTCTTTAAGAAAAAACCCCAAAGAAAATGGACATGGATTAGTCCCAATGGTGAAACTTAAAGCGATTATATTCTTTCTACGCAAAAATCCATGGTTAAAGACGTAACAGCACTAAATCGCTTCTTAACTGGTAGCGACCATAGACTAGTCCGAGCCAAGCTGATCATTGCTAGTAGATTTGAAACAAGAAAGATAATCAGAAATTAGACATGGAAAAACTAAAACAAAAAAAACTGACGTACGAAGAGAGAATAAAGGAAATATTGCCGACCAAGGAAGATATAGAACACAAACATATCGATGAAATAAACATGATATTTACTGAAACTTTATTGAAAGTGGGTAAAGAATTAGCACAGACAACAACTAAAAAGAAAGTTTTATATCCAAGGAAACAAAAATTCTTATGAACACAAGTAGAGTGCTTAAAGCAGAACCTGGGAAACATACAAAATAATAGCATAAAGAATACAACAGGAATGGAGACCAACAATATAAAATAAATTTTACAGATAACGCACAAATATTATATCAATCTCTATAAAACAAAACAAAAACCAACCCAAGAAATCCGTAATCAGTTACAACTGAAAATAAAGAACCTACAACCAGAAATTAGTAAAAACGAAATACAAAAGGCACTCAAAGAAATGAAGAATAACAAATCTCCTGGGAAAGATGGAATAACTGTTTAAATGCTAAAAAATGGGAGGAAAACTACAGTGGAAGTCCTTTATGTACTAATAAATAAAATATTGGAACACTATTTCTATTTAAGAAAGGTGATAGAAAAGATCTGAAAGATCTTCGGGGTCTGACTCTCTTTCTTCCTCCTATCGGACTCCACTATGTTATTCTATTTATCCACCGATTTTGGTTTGCTCTTCTCTGATTTCATGCTGATGTTCTTATCCCATAGTACCGGGTTCAATTTTCGTATGCAGTCTCTTGTCCTAGTCTATTTTTTATATCTTCCTCCGTTGTTCCTGAGTTTGATATTATGAAACCTAAATACTTATACTTGTCTGTTCCTTGGATTTGTTTACCTTGGTCTATTTCCAGCTGTTTTATTTCTGTATTCTCCGTTGTTAGGTATTCAGTTTTCTTTAGGTTTATTTCCATTCCATTCTTTGTATATTCCTGCTCCAGTTTTCTCATCATAAAACTGAGGTCATCCTCGTCTTGTGCGATCACTATTTGGTCGTCAGCAAAACTTAGCGTATATAGATATTCGTTCCTTACTGGTATACCCATTCCTTCGCACTTTCTTTTCCATGGTTTCAGGGTTTTTTGCAGGAATATTTTGAACAGGGTGGAGGATGTGGAGCAACCCTGTAGTAGTCCCTTTGTCGTCTTAAATGGACTGCATATTCTATTGCCCGTTTTGATAGCTACTTCGTTATTCTTGTAGAGTGCATTTACCGCTTTTATTAATCTTCGTGGAACTTCGATGTCTTCCATTACCAGAAGAGATAACTTCAGGAATAACAATCGAAACTATTTACCAAAGCAATACAATAAAAGTAAAGGTAGAAGGAGAACTAACTGGCTCTAGGGAAGATGACAATGGGATAAGACAGAGAGATTCCCTGAATTCTCTATTGTTTAACCTGACTATGGGTAAAATATTTAAAAAACTAAAAACTTAAAAAGGATACCAAATGGAAGATAAATAACTTAAAATAATCTGCTGCTAAGCAGACGACGCAATACTACTGTCTCAAAGTAAAGATTTACAATGTATGCTGCATCAATTTAATATAACCGCCAGAAAATTTAACGTGGTAATTTCCCCAAAAAAGACAAAATACATGACAAAATACATGATTATAACAGCAAATTTATTAAGATGTAAATTGAAGCTGGAAGGTCACATAATAGAACAAGTCATGGAGTTTAAATATCTAGGCATCACACTATCTAGCTACTGAAAGCTCTAAACAGAAGTGAAAGATCAAGTGAATAGAGAGCAAACAGATCCGCATATTGCTTGAATGAAAAAAAATGGACAAATAAAAGTATCGGGAAAGAAATGAAAGGCAGAATTTACAAAACAGTCATCAGATCAATAATGACATACGCGGCACAAACACGACCTGAAATAGAGGGAACAAAAAGGATGATAAAAGCAGCAGAGATGAAAACAATTAGAAAAATTGATGGTAAAATACTATAAGACAGAGCTAGAAGTACAGATATACAACGTAGATGCAAGGTGGAGAACATCAAAAACTGGGTAACAAATAGAAGAGTAGAATGAAACGAACATATAAGCCGAATGACAACAAATAGAGTAGTAAAGACGGCAAAAGACGGTTCTGCAATAGGAAGATGATCAATAATAAGACCACGTAAACGATGGAACGAAAACTTACTGAAATTGAAAAACAGACAGATTTATGTCAACATAAAAAAGAATAAGCTAGAGTCAGCTTGGAGAGTAACTCTAGATCAAAATCAGAGAAATAACTATGCACCTTATCCACATCATATAAAAATCTTTTTTGTCAGTGGACGGATTTCCCCTGCTGTAATTACGTAATAAACTTATTGATTATTGTTTTTTTTATTTGTAGAAAAAGATTACAATAAATAAAGGATATAAAATGATGTCTCACTATATAAATAACAGAAATAAAAAAAAACACAAATAACAGCAGACAGTAATTCGTGGATTTCTTAGAATATCGCAATCAACAAATTCTTTACGTCCGAAAAATTTGAAACTGGAGCATTTTTCTTTGAAAGGCCGAGCAAAGAGTTAATATAGCGATACTTTTAAGTTTATATAAGTCATTTTATTTTTAAGTCTGGAAACCACGAGGTAAATATTGATGGACAAAACGTTGCTCTTGTATCACGGTGATATGAAAACTTTTATTAGCAACACCAAGTTCTGCCGAAGCTGCTGAAGGTTTGCCTTTAGAAACCTGATTGAGTTCAGATTGAGTATTTGCGGCACAGAAAGAGTCAGCATCCGTTTCTCTGCTCGATTCTTCTACATTTTTATTTGTAGACTATTTGTTCCAATCTTCAATCATCATGAGTCAGTTGTGGTGAGGCTGTCTGATGATTTGCCAATTTCGCATGTTTTAGATGGGTATGTGTTTATGACATGTATATTTTGTGCTTGTGTGTGCGTGTCGTGTTCATTCAACAAATCTATAGTTAATAATATAGCTGGAGAGCCTATGTAATATTCCAAGTTGATCCGTGATTGTTTATTTGGTAGCCTTTATTTAACTTGTCTCGTGGTCCTGTATGGCTATATGACGTTCCTTATTAAACAATAAGACAAATATACTTGACAAATACAACTTTATCCGATATAACTTTAACTTTATCCGATATAACTTAATCCAATATAACTGTATATTTTATTTTACATTATTTAATCGTTTTGTTTCTTTTTTTAGATTCCACTCTTTTATTAACTATTTTTACATACTTTTAAAATCAAATACTCACGTTTTAAAAGTTCCCTAAAATAGTTGCTATCTACATTTCCTAGTTATATAAACATTCAGTTAATGTTGTGTCATGAAATAAGAGTTAATCTGGCTGATTCTTAAGTACAATGCAAGTAAACGCGAGAGGTTTGTCTGCATTTTGTTAACTAAAGAGTTTCAAGTGGACCCTGCACCATGTTAACTTAATAACACTATCACCGCAATCATGTTACTTGATAATGATAGTATGATACATGGGTTCATTCACCATCAACTCCTTCTGTGCTAGAAAAATCGTTAAGGGTCCATGGTAAATTTAATGAATATTATAAAATATTAATGTTTGGTGTAGTGTAACGAAAGCAAATATTAGGTTTCTGTAGTTTATAATTAGTTTTATATTATTATATACATTATATTATATTTTATATATTATATATTTTTTTAAAAAAGCAATTAGGAAAATATATAAATTTTATTAAACCGTACCGGCTTGGCTAGAGTGCTAACCTTTCAATACTTTTAGAAACTGGTCATTTGGACCATCACGGATTCGCATTTGGTTTGGCACGGAATTTTTTTTATTTAAAGAAGTTATTATTTTTGTTGGATCG